AAGACCTCCACTAATGCTAGTTAGTTGCAATTGAACCCTTCAATTGACCTTCTATGGAGAAGTGCGAGCAACGAACTACCATGAACCACCACGAACCACCACACGCGCCACCAAGGTGGCCGGCCGTACGGACGAGGGAAGGAGAGAGAAAGCCGTGAGTTAGAGAAAGGAATTAGGGTCTTTGGGATTGGTTGCCTTGATGTCAAAATACACTGTGTGTGAATTATGACTGCTTGCATGCAACCTTAGGCATGGATCTTATTTATAGATCTCATCTCTAAATAAGAGCCCATGTCAAAAGCCCAAAACCTAGTTCTAATCTAACTATGCTAGCCCAATCCATTTCATGATTAGTTAATTGCTCATGAGGCCTATTAACGGGCCTCTAACTTGCTTAACCCAATACCCTTGTGTGTGACCTCATAGGATCCATTCTAGCGGGCTTTGGACTATTTGACTAGTCCAAAGATCATCTCTCATAGTCTAGCAACAGATGATGACGCCCCAAGAGAACGAACTTATTATCTCCATAATAGTGATCCTTGATATATCTAGTAATTGCACTTATCGAAGACACAACTCCTTCAACATTATCCTTAATCACACAGTGATAATTACAAAACACAACTTCACACTGTGAGTCTTTCATCAGCTTATGCATTGACAGCAGATTATGTTTAAAGTTTGACACAACTAAAACATTCTTCAAATAGAGAGAGTTAGGGAGTTCAACTATGCCTGTGTGAGAAACCCTGGATGTAGCTCTTGTAGGGAGATTTATCTTCAAGTTCTCATGACATTATTTGGGACCAGTAATCAAGCTCAAGTTGGAAGTCATGTGATCAGAAGCCCCAGAGTCTATGATCCATTCTTCATGAGATGAAGCTGTTGCATTACAGGCTGATACCATTCCAGAAAACCGTTATCAATTTCTTCATCTGTATCACATCCTTTCACATTGCCAGTAATTTGCTTCAACGACTGCTCGAATTGTTGCTGAGTAAGGGTTATGTTTACAGAGCTGCTCTGTCTTGCAGATCCCGCATTCTGAGCTACAGCAGCAAGCCTTGGTGCTGGTCTGTTCCACTTCTGATCTTGAAATCTGGCTCCAGTTTTAGCAGTAGAAGCTGGTTTGTGTTTGTGATGCCAGCTGGGATAGCCTATCACCTTCCAGCACCTGTCTGGGCCATGACCCTTCACACCATACACATTACACCCAGTAGATTTACCACTTCCACCAATATTTGATACAAAGTGTCCGGGATTTCCAAGATTTCCTTGGTTTCCGGAATTTCTGTTATACATAGCTGAAATTTCTGGTTCATTTTTAGTCATGAGAAGAATTTCTCTCTGACTTTCTTCTTGCTGTAACATGGAACAAGCAGATTCCACTGTTGGTAAAGGAGTGAACATGAGTAGTTGAGTTCTCATAGCTCCAAAATGCTCATCTAGACCATTTAGGAACTGAAATAATCTATGCTCTTCTTGATATTTCAATATTATTCAACAAGTTCCTAACCTCAGCACTAGACTCAGTCACAGCAGGCAGCACATTCATTGCATCAATTTCTTCCCACAAACTAGTCATGCTAGTATAATAATTATTAATAGAGCTACTGTTTTGTTTCAAGTTGTATAAGTCTCTATTAAGTTTATATTTTCTAGATCCATTTGACATAGAAAAACGTTTTTCCAGTTGAACCCAAACTTCTCTAGCAGTGCTTACATACAAAACAGATTTTTTGATTGTATCAGATAAACAACCATGAATCCAAGATATTACCATAGAGTTGTAGGTATCCCATTGATCTGATTTGACAGGATCATTAGCATAGCCCGACCTTAGCACAATTCCTTGCACAAAACCTACTTTCTTCTGTGCTGTAAGAGTTATTTCCATGGATCTTTTCCAAGATCTGTAGTCTGCTGCTCTAGTGAGCTTATCAACGCTGATGAAATAAGAACCATCATTTGGGTGCAAGTATAGGACACTGCTTGTATCAACAGCCATTTCAGGTGAGAGATAAGGAAAGGAAGAAGAAAGAAAGAAAAATAAATAGAAGAGAAGAAGAAAGAAAGAAGAGAAGAGAAGAGAAGAGAATCAGTAGATGATGAAATTAGAAAGCTTTAACAAATGAGAAAACCTTTCTTTCTACACGTATCAATCCTGATTTTGCACAACCTGGCTCTGATACCATAAAGACTAACATAAATCAAAGTGCAAGAGGATGACAGAAAGAATGAAAAATCTAGCAGAGGAAGAAGAGGACTGATATTTTCTCATTAGCTCTAATCAGTGTACAATGAACCTGATATATATCAGGACAAATTACAACTTTATTACATCCAAAAAGTATGAAACAGTTAAGAGAATCTTCCTAGAATTCAGGCCCTCTAACTACCTAAGAAGTTGGCAGAACACAGCTGTCATAACAAATTTGATACCTTGGCTAGAAAGACTAAACTGCCCAATTGTAATAATACCCTTGCTTATTACTAGCAAACAAGTTGTAGAAACCCGATTTATAATAGACTATTTCCAACCCTCTCTCTATAATTTATGCTCTTTGTTTTGTGTATAAATATTAATTAATAAAAAAAATGCTAATTTTAATAAAACTACAGAGTTTTTTTTTTTCTTTTTTTTTCTTTTGGGAAACAAGAACTACAGATTAGTTGTTTGAATTTAGTATGTTCCCATTTTGTCGGGATTTTTTGTATGAGTGTTATTTTGTAATGGAGTCCTATAATTTTTAGTTTGTTTGTTGATAATAATAGTAATAGTAATAGTAATAGTAATAGTAATAGTAATAGTAATAGTAATAGTAATAGTAATAGTAATAGTAATAGTAATAGTAATAGTAATAGTAATAGTAATAGTAATAGTAATAGTAATAGTAATAATAATAATAATAATAATAATAATAATAATAATAATAATAAATACTTCTTTTAAAATAATAATAATAATAATAATAATAAATACTTCTTTTTAAAAAAATAATAATACTTTTGATTTTTTTTAGTTGCAAATTTGGAATATTTTATATCTCACAAATAATAACCCAATGTTACAACTAAAAAAATGGCAGGTAGTAATATAGTTTTGATGGATCTAGTGGAACATCATATCCTTGCAGCTACAACCATTGGTAATTAAGACTGTTTATCAATTGAAAATACCTACAATCTATATCGAGAAGGAATCGTCCGGAATAATCCCACCTTTTGAATGTTTGTCCAAAATAATCCCACCTTTGGGATATTTTTAAATAATTTGACCTTTATACCCAATCTACGCAAAATGATCTCAACCGATCATGTAACTTGTTATACCACATTACTTGACACGTGGCAGCCTATAACTAGTGCAAAAAAAAAATGTTAAATTCTTGTAAAGAGAAAATAATATTAATAAATTATTAAGACTCCCCTCCCCCAGCTCGGCGTCCCTCTACCCTTCCCAAAGCACCGCTCACCCGAATCAAACCTCTTTCTCCCTCACGAAAACCCTAATTAACCATCCCTCCCCCAAGAAAACCCATATTAACCATCCCTCCACCCTCAAAACTCCTTCTTCGTCTCGATCCCGCCCCCCCCCCCCCAACCCTACTCCCGTCCCAATTTTGACCCATCTTTCCTTCAACCACCTCGTTTCTTGAGATCTGGGTTGGTCTGGTTTTGAATGGGTTTAGCATTAGTGGGGGTTTCGAAGGTGTTTTAGGGTTGGTTAGGGTGAATTTTCGATAATAAATGGCTGGTTGTGGTGGTTTAGTGGCGACGGAAGGGGTTAGGGGGAGGAGCGGCAACTGGCAAGTGGTCTGGGCTCGACGACGTGTCTGGTATGGGCAGATGGTGGCGGTGGGTAGGTGGCTAGGGCTGGTGCTGGCGGTTTTAAATTAATTAATTAAATTAAAATTAAAACTTATTTTTTGACCAATCACGTGGTGACACGTGTAAATTAAACTTAATAAAAAGATTACCTACTCAACCGGTTATAGGTCACTTTGGGACCATTTTGAGCAGATTGGGTATAAAGGTCGGATTATTATTTAAAAATGTCCCAAAGCTGAGGATTATTTTGGGTAGACGCTTCAAAAGTGGGATTATTATATTCCGGGTAATTTTTCCTGTTGAATAATGTTTTAAATTAAGTTCACATTCCACGTAACACTCTCTCAGCTTTCTTCTTGGCTATTATTTCATTTCTTCATATATTAGTAAAAATAGAACTATGGTTTATACAAGAATTATTGAACTCGGTCTTAATTCAAGATTAAACAATGATGAAAACTTAACCATCCAGCTATGTTATACTATGTGTCATTTATTGTAAACAAAGTAAATACTCCATATATAACAACATAATAAACAAAAATCAGTAAAAGTACCAAGTATCATTGAATCATATGATAACCCAAGGTATTACCCGAGTCAAAAACTAGTTGGAAACATAATAACCTAGTGAATTACCTTCAACCTATAGTATATGTCCATCTAGCCCCCTTTTTAGTAACAAAGAATCAAAGGGCTATAATGCTAAATTGTTTAATTTCCGCAAATAGACATAATTCTAGTTGTAGTCCACCTAATAACTTCCAATATACATGTTATATTGTTTAATTTCACAAGTTATACGATATTCTCTTATTTTACATACTATAATACCATTGCTTAGTTGTTTACCTTGTACGCATACTTTCTTTGATAACATGAAAATTAAATTATGTCCAAAATATGAACATTAGCACAAAATAACAACCATGTGCAATAAGGCAACCCGTGATATTCCTAAACATTATTAGATGCTTCCATAATTCTTATTCATCCAGCTCAATGTCTCAAAATATTCTCCCATGCATACGAAGGCCTTGAAAATCTATAAATAGCTCAACTTTGATGTTAGTTTCCATCATCCTAACACAAACAAATTACTTCAATTCAACTTTTGCTTTGATCATCTCTTTAAGTTTGTGTTAAACAAGCAAAATTTGTTCATAATGGCCTCCAAAAACACCGCCTCAATTGCTCTCTTTCTTGTGTTTAACCTTGTTTTGCTTAACGTAGCCTTTGCTTCATATGTAGCACGTCCTCTTAAGTCATGCCCCCCGGATACCCTTAAGTTGAACGTGTGCGCAGATGTGCTTGATCTTGTTCACCTTCGCGTTGGATCTCCTAAGAAGGCAGCTTGTTGTAGCCTTGTAGGTAACCTTATTAAGCTTGATGCCGCTGCCTGCCTTTGCACTGCGGTTCATGCTAATGTGTTAGGCCTTGTTAACCTCAACCTCAATGTTGATCTTACGGCTCTTGTCAACTATTGTGATTGCAAGCTCCCTAGTGGCTTCCTATGCCCTCCTCGTCATGCCTAAATTTTTGTTCTTATTTATGCGATGTTTATTTCTTTATTTGAGAAAATTGTGTATTCTTGTGTAATTTGATTGCTTATGCTTTTGCAATTTTCTTCCTTACTTCTTGTGTGATTTTGTACGAGATTGATAATAATAAGATGGATTCTTTTCATTGCACTCTAAATTTTAAGATCATATACTTTGTTGCTCATTTTATATTAGGCATGCGGCCTTATTTAAACCAAAAAGACGTTTGACTCTAGATTTATATATATACCTATTTTTATTATTTTATTTTAAAAAAATTTCTCTCTACTCTCATAAATTAAAAACCTTCCTGAATTAATTTTTTGTATTTTCTCTCCTCTCACTATGTTTCTTTTTCTAAAAACTGCAATCTACCATGACAAAAGAGAAATAGCATACGAAAACACCTTCAAAAAGATGAACATCACTTAAACTTTTTTGATTTTCCGACATTTATGTTAAATCTATAACTAATACTAAAGTAGCAACCGCTGATGTCATTATTTTCAAAATTAAACACATGGCGATATCTCATGAAAAAATTTCCCGCTCAAATGCTATTTTTTTTTTTTTGAAAAAAAGTACTTATTAATTTTAAATAGGTAATAGCTACTTCTTTTATTTAGGTAATTAATTTTTTTTTTGGTGAAAATTTAGGTAATTAATTTAAAATTGGTACCTATTATTTTGGTAATTTATGTTGATATTAGTTTTTTTTTTATTTTACAGGAATATTAGGTTGTTGGAGTCCTTAGAAGTTGTTAGTATAGTTGAGGTCAATTAAAATGAACTTATGAACATTTTGAACTCAAAAAATATAACAACAAAATTTACAAAAATCCAAAAAATATAAATTATTGTGAAACCCGTGCATCGCACGGGTGCTAACCTAGTTTGCTAATATAACAAATTGAAATTATGTTCTACTATATAATTGTCTTTTTAATTATTTATTTATTTATTTACTTAATTTTTTTGTAGAAAATCAAAATTATCTAATCCTACTGAAGAGGATGAAGATGTGTAAGTAATTTATTGTTCAAATTCACAATTTGATCTTAAATTGTTAATTTTTAGAATTGAATACTAAATAGAACCCTAAACTTTTTGAACAGTACAATTAGTCAAATGTTCAACGCGAGAACTCCAAAAAAGAAGAAATTAGATGATGTATATATGAAAAAATCAATTGTTAAAAAATTTTGAACCCCAACCACAGTACAAACCACTGAACACCTTAAAAAAATCTCTGAATCCCCTACAAAAACTTCTGAACCCCAACCGCAAACCACTTAACACCCTAGAAAAACCTTTGAACCCCCAACAAAAACTTATGAACCCAACCACGCACAAACCACTGAACACCCTACAAAAACCTCTGAACCCCTACAAAAACTTCTGAACCCCAAGCACAAACCACCGAACACCATACAAAAACCTCCTGCGACTAGTCTACTACTCGCTTACCGAGAGTTTAAAAACGAACCCCCTACAAAAACTTTTGAACCCCAACCACTGCACAAACCACTGAACCCCCTACAAAAATTTCTGTACTCCAACCACAAACCACTGAACACCCTTCAAAAACCTTTGAACATCCTACAAAAAGTTCTGAACCCCAACCACAAAGCACTGAACACTCTAAAAAAACGTTTAAACCCCCTACAAAAACTTCTAAGCCCCAACCACAAACCATTGAACACCCTTCAAAAACTTCTGCACTTGAAGACACTGCTCAAAATGTGAAATGTTCAGATATATAAATTATAAAGTAGAGAATGCCAAAAAAATTTAATAAAATTAAAATTACATTGCATAGATCTCAAAAAAAAATCATAAGTAATGTATCTCATATTCAGAATTATAATAAAGCTGGATGTTCATAATTCCAAAAACACATGTCAGTAAACATATATATTGACAAAAAGCGTATCATACGTTCATATTTTTAACTTAAATTGTACAAAATATAAACAAATACAGAACTGTTCATAACAAAATACACAATTATCACTAAAAAAATCAAAAGAATGTGAAAGATACATATTCCAGAACTCAAACTTAGCCATGGTGGTTAGATAATGAAATCTCATCGGAAAATTTTCATCACCGTCATCTTAACCACCTTCTCCTTGACGACGAGGTCATCTTTAGCTTCACTATTTCATTGTAAAAACTCTATCCATTGACAAAGCTTCAAATTGAAGGTTGAAGAAAACAAAACTTGAATTAGGAGAGAGAAAATAAAAGACAAAGAAATCAGAAATTAGAGGAGGAAAGAGAAGAGAGAGTATATTTTTATTGGTGGTTCACATAAAACAAGATGCACCATGGTACATCTTATAATTTGTCCATCCAATAAGGAATAGGAGTAGTAGCACCTGGGTTATAAACTAAGAACTCTTTGCTTTCTTTTATAATGTGGGACAAACAATATTCATACTTTCACTTAACCACCTCAATTTGTAAATTGTAATATGCTATTGGTGAAAAATACGAAAGTTTTATCCGCCCTAGAGCATAAAATGTTTTAAGGAAGCCTATGAACTTTTACATAACACTCTGTATTGGTAGAATATGCAAAACTTATATTCAATTCATCAATAAAGAGTCATACGCGTCTTGATGTTGGTGATAGACTTTGAGTTGACTCATATGGCAAGATTGGGTCATGGTTAAAGTCATATCCTTAGAGTAGTCGAGTCACTTCATGTAAAAGGAGTGTTAAATTATAACTCGAAATCTAGTAGGGTTGACTTTGAACGCAGATATCTCTCAAACTACAAGAGATTTTGAGGTTATTCAAGTTGGAGGTGATAGCTTGGTTTAAGAGCTTTCCAACGATAGATCATATGCTCGATTTCGATAAGAAATGAGAAAGTTATGACCGTTTTACAAAACCCTGACAAAGCTGGATATTTGCAACGAGACTGCGAGCTATAGTTCTATGCGAGTGAGCTATAGCTCGGCCCTATGAGGACTTGCGGCGGGCATTAGCTAGCTGCCGAGCTATAGCTCGGTAGTTAGGTTATTCTGATGGAATATTTCCTAAAATTATATATTTTCTATGACGGCTATTTGAGTATACTTGGAGAACAATCTTAGGGTTTATTAGGGTTTCCTTGTGTTATAAAAGGACCCTTTAGTTGATCGATTAGATCATTAACTTTTGAGCCATTAGATTTAGGTCTCCTTGTATTATTCTCTCTTTCTTTCTCCATTATAGTGAAGAAACTCTCGAATCCCCCATCCGTGGATGTAGGTCTATTTTGACCGAACCACGTAAATCCTTCTGTTGTTTGTTTATCTTCTTTATTGCTTTTCTCAATTCTTATTTTTCATTGATTTGTTCCGCATTAATCAAACACAATTACACCCTTATTTCCTAGCTAGGAGTAGAATGTAAAATAGGTGATTAAGAAGATACTCGTAAGAGATAATTAGAAAGTTACTTGGAGTGTCAAGGTCAGTTTAGTAATGAAAGAAAAGAAATCTAAGATAATTTCAATAATGCCTTTTACATTTAAGAGAGAGAAAAAAAAACCCAGTCATTTATTGATGAACAATGTTTTCTTGAAAGAAGTTTTTTTTTTTTTTTTCATTTTTTCCTATTTTTTTTTTTGTTTGGTTTGTAAAGGGGTGGAAAACTGTTAAGCCTTGTATCATGTATAGCTTATGATCCGGTGTTAAGCCATAATCTCTACTCTTAGGTTGTATAAGTATATTGTGCATATCATAATACAACACAAAGAAAATATCAGAGTCAGGTTCACGATCTCACAATTGGGGCTTTAATGGCTAAATTTTAATGAGCCAAAAGTTATGGACATCTCACATGTGAGGGGGAGTGTTGAGCCAAGGAACAACCCACATGTGAGCATTCTCTTGTCCCACACAAAAGACTAAAGGGTGAGTATAGTGATAATGGAATCCCATATTGAAAAAATTCAAGAGTTACCACCACTATATAAGGCTAAGAGGTTACTCCTCTCCTTGCCATATGGTTTTGAGGTGGAATCACCTTGGTCTTGTAGAGTGGTGGACTTGCACTTTCCCTTGACGGGTGCGGCCCACACCCGTATTTAACAAAAATAATTTTTCCAATGTTAAAACAAGGTAAGCCACATCTTCCTACGTTCTTTTTACTTTAATCTAATCCATTCTCACTTTTCCACTTCTATTTTCAATGTGCATACATTTTCTTTAACCTTTCTTGTGAGAAACCAAACAAAGAAAAACTAATTTGTAATTTGAAAAATATAAATTCCATAAAAAATAAACTTTATTAAAAATGTTTTATATCAAACCAAACATAACCTATATTAACCAAATAACCATATACTACCTCCGTTAATTATTATGTACAACAAACGAATAATTTATGTCTCACAATAATACTCTTTTGTTGCTCATAATAATTAACGGAGGTAGTATTATTAAATCCACCTAGCCATTCATCCATTATCTTAATATTTAGGAAAAATTGTCAAGAATAAAATGACCTTTCAGCGTCTTTCAAAAATAAAATGACCTTTTGATTATTCCAAAATAAAATGACCTTTGACATAAATCTGCTCAAAATAGAACAAAAAACCGGTAACTTGTTATAAAGGTTACAATTGGACACATGTCTCTTTGTGACTCGTTGGAATTTTTTATTTTTTTTTCATTTTTAAAAAAATTTGATTTTTAATTAAAAATAAAGTAAAAAAAAATCCTCTCTCTTCCTTTACCCTTCCTCCTCCTTGTGAGCCACCTGAATGGCTCCTAACCACCACCACCTCTGCACCTCACCACATCTGTTCACCTCCCCTCCCTTTCGAAACCACATGCAGCCCCCGAAAACCACCCCTTAAACCACCCACTCTTCTTGAAATAACCCCTAAACCACTCTAAACCTTGCCGCAGCCCTCGAAAGTACACCACCCCAAACCCACCAGCAGCCCCAGATACCACCCTCAAACCTACCAGCAGCCCCTTATACCACCTTTTAACCACCCAATTCCCATTAATTTGAATCAGTGAAAACACCCAAAACCCTCCTCACCCACCAAAACCACCCTAACAAACAAACCCACAAACCAATTTGCAAACCAATCCGCCTCTAACCAACTAGCAACCCATACAAAAACTCCAATTTAACCGATCGAAAAAAGCCTCAATTACTGAACTCCACTCGAAAAGGGGGTGGGTTCAAGGTGGAGTTCACCGCAAAAGACAAGGGTAGGGCAGTGCGGGGTTTTGCAAGTGGGCTGTTGGCTGGGTCAATGAATGCTAGTGGATTGTGGATGAATGGGGTGGTGATGGTGTTGGTGGCTTGGCGGGTGGTGGTCGATGAAGGGTGATGGTTGAGTGAAAGTTGTTTCTTTACAATTAAAATCATTTTTGTAAAAAAGAAAAAACTTTAAAAATAAAAATAAAAAAAAACTACTAATCACATTGTGACACGTGTCAAAATGACTTGCAACCGGTTAAATTCTATTTTGAGCAGATTTATGTCAAAGGTTGTTTTATTTTGGAATAATCAAAAGGTAATTTTATATTTGGAAGACCATTAAAAGATCATTTTATTCTTGACAATTTTTCCTAATATTTATGCAAATGGTAACTATTATAATTTATAAACACGGAGGAGGTAGTTATTATTGATTCATTAATTTATTTTAATAAAATTATTATTACACCATCTTCGTTCCACGCTAACTAACCTTTTAAGTAACAAAGGGTCATAATAATTCAATTTTGTACTTTTTAATTTTCGTAAAATAGTCCTATATTACTAATTGTAGTCCACCGAAATACCGAATAATATCAAACATACATGTACTCCAGATTTGAATTCTTTGTGCTAAGCAATTTTAAAATTTGGATACGATATTCTACGTACTAATAATGTCAATGCTTAGTTGTTTAGTTTGTACGCTTACTCTCAATGATAACATGCAAATTAGTATGCAAAATTAACAACCATGTGCGAAGAGCCAACCCGTGATACTATAAACATTATTGGATCCTCCATAATTCAAACTCATCCAGCTCAATGTCTCAAAATATTCTCCCATGCAATACTAAGGCCTTGAAAATCTATAAATAGCTCAACTTTGATGTGACTTTCATCATCCAACACACAATTTACTTCATATCTTGTGTTCATCTCTTCAAGTTAGCTCTAAAGAAGCGAAATTTATCATAGTTTTAAGAAATGGCATCTAAAAACACTGCCTCAATTGCTCTCTTTCTTGCATTGAACCTTGTTTTGTTTAATCTAGCCTTTGCTTCATATGTAGCCCGTCCTCTTAAGTCATGCCCCCCGGATACCCTTAAGTTGAACGTGTGTGCAGATGTGCTCGATCTTGTTCACCTTCGTGTTGGATCCCCTAAGAAGGCAGCTTGTTGTAGCCTTGTAGGTAACCTCATTAAGCTTGATGCTGCCGCCTGCCTTTGCACTGCGGTTCATGCTAATGTGTTAGGGCTTGTTAACCTCAATCTCAATGTTGATCTTACAGCTCTTGTCAACTACTGTGATTGCAAGCTCCCTAGTGACTTCCTATGCCCTCCACGTCGTGCCTAAGTTATCTCTTTTTCTTGTTATGTTTATTTCATTACTTCATGAGTAATTTGCCTCTTTTTCTTGTGATGTTGATTTCATTACTTCATATTTAAATTGTGTATTACACCCTTGGGTAAGTTAGTTCTGATTAAGCTATTGCATTTTTTGTTTCTCATTAATTGTGTTATCTTGTATGAATATTATTGTTCAATAAGTTATTTACTTATTTTGCAGATTAATCTCAGAGATTTGATTATGAATATTTTATTCCTTAATAAATTTACCTAATGAAATAATGAGTTTACATAGTAGATCATCAAATAATAATAGGAAATTTTAAATTTTGCTACCACTTAACGGATCCGTTAATAATTCCGTTAAGTTTTTTTTTAAAAAAAAATAATAATAATTATAAATTAAAAATAAAAAAAACAAAAAAATAAACCACCCACCCCTGCCACCCCTCCCCTCAACTGCCACCCCTTCCCTCCCCCTTGCCGGTGGCCGGTGCCCAGAGATTCGGCCGGCGCCGGCGCGAACCCACCCCCCTCCCTTTCCCCCACCCCTACGCTGCCAACCGAACCCACCCCCCTTCCCTTTCCCCGTTCTCGCAACCAAATCAGCTCCTCTCCAAATACCAGCCCACAATCGCAACCCCTGCAGCCACCTCCTCACTCAAACCGCAAAAAATCAATTCCCAACATCAATTCCCGAAATCAGAGCAAATCGCAGATCCATCGAACCTCGTCTAGAAATCAATTTAAGTTTGCCGAAAAAAGTTACGGTGTGGTGGTTTAGGGGTTAGGGTGGCCGAAAAGGTTAAGGCGGGTCGATTCGTTAGGGTTTGGAGCAAAGTGTTGCAGAAGAGTGGTGGTAGTGGTGGTGGTTGCGGCGATTCAGATCTTTGATTGTGGTTTCGGTGTGGTGGCTTGGGTCGGGGCAGCAGGGGAAAAGGGAGAGGGTTGGGTTGCGTTTGTGGGGGAAAAGGGGTGGGATGGGTTCGCCGGTCGTCGGTCGGGGGAGGGAGCTGGGTGGCTAACGGGATGGGGCAAGGTTGGTTTCTTGGGTGGTTGATTTAATTTTGGTGGCTGACCAGGAAGGCTTGTACGGTGGCAAAGGAGGGAGTGGTAGCCGGAAGGTGGTAATGAAGGCGGTAACGAAATTATAAACGGATTCCGTTCAGTGGTAGCAAAATTTTAAAAAAGGGTATATGTTAGGTAGTAAAATAAAATAAAAGTTTTGATGGGTAGCAAAAGTGAATTTGACCTGTTTGAGGTAGCAAAAGTCAAAATTTCCATAATAATACTTCATCTGTTTAATAAAATATACAAAGAAACGATTCAAACAAGATCGCACATGAATATGTTTTATGGTAGCTATAAACTACAAAATCGAGTCAAGGCGTGTAGTGTGAATAGTGTAAAAGTCAAACGGTGTCAACTAAAAAAGACTAATTATAGGAAGTATATTTGAAGAGGAGAAAAAAATATAACTAGGGGAATTTCCCATGTTTGATTTTAAAACTTATGTAAAATTTCTTACAAAATATAAAAAATAAAGGAGTAACTAGAAGAAAATTAATCGATTTTATCATGTTTTAACTTTCCACTTAATGAATTTGAATGAAATTGGAAGGAAAGGAAAATTAAAATGTTAATTCTTTTATATTTCTTTCCATTGTAAATTTGTAATCAAACACTGAAAATTATAAGTACAAATTACTTGATTTTCTCTTCCCTTCTATTGTCTGTCTTGGGGGCAGAGCAATAACATATGGAGCTAGCCCCATATAATTCCTTAAAATTGGACCCTTATTTCATAGATTATAAGTGTTGGAAAATAATGGAAACCTAACAAAGTATTCCGTTGTAAATTTGGAAGATTAAAGGTGAAAATAGTTAACCATTTTGCAGTGAGGCTTTGGATGTATGTCCACACAGCTAGTGAAACATCACTCAACGAGCCATTATATGTCCAGAAATTCTAAGTTCATAAGTTTAATTTTCATGAATTTGTAAATCAAGGGGTATATATGTCTTCAATTTGTACATCAAGAGAAATGACAAGTTTGGAACACAATTTTAAGATGCTATCGGAAAATGATTTTGGCACACCATAAGTTGATTTTGGCACACCCTATGTGAGTGCATAGTTTTTAATGTTATTCTCACATGGAGGTGTGCCAATATCAATTAAAAGTGTGTTAAAATTAATTTCCGATGCTAGCGTAAATCCCAATATGCACAAGGGCACAGCTCAAACTCATGGACCTTTGCTAGAGTTCACAAATTGTGTTTTACCATAATTTGTCGGCACATTATTCCAACCCCTCATAACTAAGAAATCATAGCATGATATTCACAATAGATCTAGCTCATTACAAATTGAGCTAATCATAATTCTAAACCGAATTATTTGGGAAACAAGACAAAATTTCGATCCGAACATCAGAAATTAGTGTTCATGTAATTTAAATTTCGAGTTACATTAGATTACAAAATAATGTAGTTCCCTTAACGTACAAAGCAACATATAGATTGGTCGCATTGATTGTAAGGAGAACATTTAATCTAGCTTCACCCAATACAATCTATCCCACGATATTAATTGAAATCGTGTAATAGAGATGTGTGAAGCCGCGGTAATTATTAGATGCACCCGAAAGCATGTATTTACAAGTCTAGAGTAATCACAACAATTTAAAGATGTATACAAATCACATTTAAAAAAAAAAAAAAAAAAACCACTTAAAAATCATTAAAATACAAACAATTATTTTATATTCGATCGCATATCTTATTGTGAATAATCAACAAAATTAAAGAAATAAAACCTAGATAAATTTCAACTTAGAATATACAATTGACGACTTGAAACAGAGGGTTTAACAGAAAATTTTAAAGATTTAAACTTTTTTTTTGGAATTTTCATTAACGCATAATTACAATCATTTCAGAGAAATTACAGAGTTAAAATTCAAAAATTTCACAATTATAGATTATAAACTAAATATACCAACTCCTTGAATTTTTTTGCATCAAAAATAGATTATAAACTAAATGAAAAGATATATTGCATACCTGTAATTGATTGATTATGGGAGTCATCTCCATCAAATAGATCGCTCAAATTTTAAATCTTAATTCTGCAATCTAGGGTTTAAGGTTTAATGGGGTTATCTCCATTTAAACAAGAACTAGAAGTTTCTCGTCATTTATTTTAGACGGGCTCTTCTCGTGTTTTTTCTGTGGTCATAATTGGCTTCGTATTTAAGCGAACCTACTGTGTGTTGCTGTCCTGTGGTTTATACTTTGAAGAGCCCAGCAAAAAAAGGTCCCATTTGCTTTTCTTTTCATCGTACTCCGTACAAATTTTCATACGGAGTAATTTTAATCCACGTTGCGTGACTATGCAACTTTTTTTTTTTTAGTTTTTATTTTTTTTTTTATTTAAAGAATGTAAGGGTCTGTTCACATTTACTTAATTTCAGTTATGTTCAGCTCCAATCAGTTTAGTTCAGTTCAACTTCAATCAGTTCAGTTCAATTTAGTTCAGCTCAGCTCTTAATTTCCCTCTCTTATAAAATAGTCATTTTAGCTCAGTTCCAATCAGTTCAGTTCAGTTCAGTTCAGTTCCAATCAGTTCAAGTTCAGCTCAGTTCAGTAAATGTGAACAGACCCTAAGTCATTTTTTATATGAAGGTAAAATCATTTTTGATTAATTTTCGGTTTTTTTTTTTTTTTTGAATTTTTTTAATAAGTTCGACCAACAGAAATAATATATCAAATCTGACTTTAAAATTAAGTATAGTGGTACTTTGTTATAGTCATTTCAATAAGAATGACTACTATAGAATTTTCATAAAATTGCACTTTGCATTAGTTGACTGAACTTAAAAATAGTCAAAATTAGCTTAAGGTCCGTGCCATGCACGATAAGTCTAATTTTTTTTAAGAAAATTGATTATATTCAACAAATAAAATTTGATAAACATACAAATCAAATATAGAGAGCTATAATGTCATAATATATACTTTGTATTAATAGGCAAAACAAAAAATTATCTAAAAAATGGTTTTTTTTTTAGTCTGTCCAAACTCGAGAAATTTACAGGCGGGGCTTGATCAAGTCTAGTGGTCATATAACTCATATTAGTGAATACTTATTTATAAATGATTTTTTTTTTAAAAAAAAAAACAATCGAACAACAAACTAAAATCTCTACTAAAATTATTAATAAAGTTCATACACAAAATTACAAATAATATATAACCTTTATATCTAAAAAAATTATTTGTTAAACACAACATTTATTTATTTATTTTTTTATTTTTTTTTATTTTTTTTTTTAAACAAAACACAACATTTAATTTATTTTATAACTATACTATACTCTATAAATCAATTTGTGATAATATGTACGTATACTAGTAAAATTTCATAAACAAAATTGTAATTAACTTGAATATATATTTATATCGAATTGAAATTGAAATAAAATATTAGCTAGAGGTATTTGGAAAAAAAAAATAAGTGATGTTTTAAAGTAATTTCTTTAACATATATTATATGAATCAATTTATTATAACTCTTTTGGCAAAATCTAGTAATACTCCATTTAAAAGATAGTTAAAAAGAAGTCTAATTTTTTTTTTTTTTTTCACAGAAGTTGAAATAATTATTTAGGTAAATGTGTATTGAATAATTATGAACACCAAATTAAAAGGAATATATATTTGTCATAAAGATAATATAAAATATTTGGAATGATATTAGTATAGAGTCATTTTTTATTTTTTTTAAAAGGTAAAAAGGCAAGGAGAGTTTTGAAGAAAAAGAAAAAAACAGCACCAGGATGTAACACGTGTCAGAGTATTAATTCATCTTGTTAGGAATCCCCACCATTATCTCATCCAACAATAAATTTATATATTATTATGGTTGATTTATTACCAAAGTTAATACTCATTCTGTTTCATAATATTAGTTTCATATGGAATCATCACATATTATAAGAAAAGAAAAATATTTGGAATCTAACATTAAAGTATAAAATAGTTCATAATTGGTTTACCTTATTTAAGTTTTTTTTTTTTTTGTGGAACAACATAAGTCATAATTGAATAATTCAAGGTAGATATTTCCTTACTTAGAGTCATGTCATCAATCCACAACTAATTAATTCAAAAAAAAAATTAAGTTAAAATTGATACATATGAGTAGATTTTTTTGAAATGTCAAAAATAGTATACGGGACTAACATTATGAAACGGAGGGAGTAGTGTTTTTTGTTAGTATATTTTTTACCACTAATTATAATATGGTTGATTTGTGCTTAACATTATTTTCTCTAAATTATAATTCCTCCGTTCTTTTTATTTCACATGTTTCTTACTTCACGTTTATTTGTCAATGCACAAATTCAAGTATTCAACCATTAAGGACATTAACAATAAGCAAAACATATAAAAGTTGATATTTTAAAAAAATTCATTATGAGTTTATGACTAGAGCTGTCATTTCGTGTCAACGGATCGAGTAAGAGTGAGTCGAGTCAATTCGGGCTAATGTCGTAACCTATGCGGATCGGGTTCGGGTTGGGTCATGCTTGAGTCGAGCCACGTCGGGTCATACATCTTATCGGGTTTGGGTCGAGTTTAGGTCGGGTTATTAACATATCGGGTTACATTTGAGTCGGGTGAACAATAGATCTGGTTTAATTCGGGTTTTCACGGGTTAAAACGGGTAAGGGTAATTCTTGGGTTCCAGTCAGGTTTGGTTCAAGTCAATAATTTGCGGGTTAGAATTAGGTTGGGTAATTCTCGGGTTTGAATCGGGTTCGGTTCAAGTCAATAATTTGCAGGTTATAATCACATCGGATCATTTTCCAGTCGGATCATTCTCGGGGGTTCAAGTCAGGTTCGATTCAAGTCAATAATTTGCGGTTTATAATCAGGTTGGGTCAATTCCAAGTCGGGTCATTCTCGAGTCCAAGTCGGGCTATGTTTAAGTTAATAATTTGCGGGTTACAATCAGGTCAGGTCATTTCCAAATAAGTCGGGTCATATTCGGGTTCAACGTAACTAACTATAAATAGTTATTATCATTTTATCAATCTAATTATTTTCTTAATTTGACTATAATATATACGGCATCATACGAGGGATCTATAGTCCATAAGTTAGGAAGATAATTATCTCCTTTGACCGTACAACAAATATATGCTATATTTAACTCTTAAATTTGGGGATGATGCTCCTTTCTTTTGCTGGCCTGGACTGACTTGGTCTCCCTAGACAAAATGCTTTGATGAAAAATAATAAGGTGGTCTAAATGGCATTTTAGGTGATTTGAAATCAGGTCAGGACACAATTTGGGTTGAATTTAGGTCGGGTCAATAACAAGTCGTGTTGATTTATTTTGAGTCGGGTTAGTAACAGATCGGGTTGAATTTTTAGGTCGGGTTAGTAATAGGTCGGGTAAATTCAGGCCAAGTTAATAACAAGTCGGGTTTAATTTGGGTCGGGTCAATAACAAGTCGGGTTAATTTCGGGTTGGGTTTGTAACAGGTTGGGTTAGAAACGGGTCGAGTTGAATTCAAGTCTGGTTAGTAAAAAGTCAGGTTAAATTCGGGTTTTGACGAGTTAAAGCGGGTTTGAGTTAATTTTGGTTCAAGTCGGTTTCGATTCAGATCAATAATTTATGGGTTACATTCGGGTCGGGTTATCTCCAGGTCAGTTTATGTTCGGATTTGGGTCTCACATACTCGAGTCAACCCGGGTCTACGGTTGGTTTCAGGTCGGGTTTGGGTCACCATTTTTTCGGGTTTAGATAAGTCGGTTAATAATCGAGTTTGGGTCGTTATTTCGGATCGGGTCAGCTTTTGACAGCTCTAATTATGACATATGTAATATAACAACTAATCACATGAATATATGCTTCATTCAACGTATAAATCACATAATATGGTCAAAGTAAAGTGTGTAAATAGTGCAACAGTCAAAACATGTCAATAAAAAAAAGGAAGACAGTATTAAGGAACAATAAACAAGTACATGCATAAAATTTTAAAACCTATTTGACCCAACCAACTTAGTTAAACCAAAAGTAACAACCATAGCAAGCCAACCACCCAATAAAACCCTCAAAGAAGCCTTTAAACCCGAAGCTCTCCCCAAAACTGCCCCTAACCACCCAAACACCACCAAAGCCAACGTAACCACCGCCGCCACCACCCCAAGCCTTACCTTATAATCCTTAATAAACGATGCCGCCAGCAGCGGGACCATAGCGCCCACTGCATAGGCAAAAGCCGAGGCACATGCTGCCTGCAATGGATTAGGCAACTCCTCCTTTTCACCTTCTTCTTGCTCAATTCCTCCTGTTTGGGTCCAATTTAGTCCAATTGGGCCTAGGCATTAAATGATCCAATTAAAACCCAAGGTCAAGGTTCAACTCTCCAATTGTGCTAAAGTCAAAGGTCAGCCCTCAAAGCAAGCCAATTGGGCTAAGGCCCAACTTCTCCATGTATGAAGAGGTATAAAAGCCATCAATATTCAGATATTCACATTCATTCATTCATTCATTCATTCATATATTCTCATAGATTCTCATATATTCTCATATATTCAAGCAAAGCCTCAAGCAACTAGTTCTCTTGCATAGTGTTCTCTTTCTACACATTGTACTGACTTTAGCATCGGAGGGGCCTTCCTCGGCAACACCCCCGAGGCTAGTTTACGTGTGTTTACTGTGCAGGAAACCTTCGGCCCAACATTACTTGGACCAAATCTAGTCTTCCCCGTTTCATCGGACCTTCGGCAAGGTCCCATTGTTTTCACCCGAAACAATTTGGCGCCGTCTGTGGGGAAGACTTTCAAAAATCTTTAAGCCAAATTTCTAACCAAGATCATCTTGCAATTATCTTAGTAGCAATGGCTAAGAACCGCAAGAGCAAAAGCCTCCGTCAAGGAGCGGGCGAAAAGCCTAAAACCCCTACACCATCACCCTCGCCGGACCGGAACTCTCCCAAGGGTGCCAGCTCGGGGGGAGGATCATACAAGGAGGATTCCCTTTCTCCCGTAATTCATGACTCTCATTATAGGCCGAGTCACTCTCGGTCTAGCAGGGGTGAGTCCGATCATAGGACACATTCAGTGCCCAAAGCCAACCATCGACTGTGCGCCCTCATTCCCATACTCGGCCGAGGACCCCTTTGACGGGGCCCAGCTCGGAAGAGGTGGCAAGAGCGCTGGCAGTACTCATGGAGGCGATGAGGGCACAAAATATGCCACCACCTCGTGATCGAACTCCTCCGCATACCCGGCATCAGCGGAGGAAGTTAGACCATGATGGTGGGAAGCTTCCTTCCTTCCGGGAACTGGAAGAGTGGGAAGAGGATACCTGGAAAAATGAAAAAGAGAGGAAAAAGAACCCTCAATTTTTAAGAGGATCCTCATCCTCACGACCAGAAGCGCATAAGAGCAGCAGCTCAGCTTCTCGGCCAGAATCTACTCACCGAGAACCTGAGACTGTTCGCCGAAGCGTCCTTGACCGACTCGGCGGCAAGGAACCGAGCGTGCGCAGTCGCCTCTCGTTCCCTGCAGCCGAGGCCCAGACTTCCCAGCCAGGGACGAAAACCACTCCTACCTCTCTAAGAGGGCGGAGCGCGGTCCCTTCGGCCAGGAACAAGGGCAAGGCCGTTATGCTACCCGCCAGTTCACCATTCGAGCAATGGATACTGGAAGAGCGCGTGCCCACGGTTAAAATACCGTCGCACATCACATATGACGGGAACTCAGATCCGAAGGATCACGTGGCCTCGTATGAGACTCATATGCATCTTTGCCCCAGATCCGAAGCGACTTGGTGCAAATATTTCCCAACCACCCTCAAGGGGGTCGCGCAAGCGTGGATCTCCAAGGGAGTAAAGCAAGGCTCCATAACAGGGTGGGATGATCTGTCCTCCAAATTTAGGAGCAAGTTTTCCACGGCAAACCGCCGAGAGAAGACTACTGCAGAACTCATGAGTCTGCAACAGGGGGAAACCGAAAGCCTCCGAGACTATCTGACCCGTTTCAGTAACGAGTCATCCAGCGTCTCTCAGCTGGACCAGGGGCTAGCCGTTTTTGCAATGCAGAATGGCCTTCAGCCCGGAAATTTCCTAGACTTCATGGTCATGCATACCCCGCAGACCTTGGAGGAAGCTCTGAATGCCTCGGATAAGTTCATCCGAGCCGAAGAATGGAACAAAGAGAAAACCCAACCTCAATTTGGGGGAGGGAAACAAAGACAAATTTACAGCGTGACGAAGGAGGAGCAGAGTTACCGAAAGCCGAGACCACTCCCAGAGTGGTATCAGCGAAAAAATAAAAATCAGTGGTGCGAGTTCCACGAGTCTTCGGGACTCAACACTGAGGAGTGTATCCAACTGAAGGACCAGATAGAGGACATGGTCCGGAAGGGATACTTGAAAAAATACATCGCGGATCACCGCGAGAAAAAAGAATCCGAGAATTCAGCAAAGGACTCTCGGCAAGACCTCGACTTCCCCCGGAAGAACAGTAAAAAGCCGGAGGGGAAATTCCCTCCGATCAATGTTATCTCGGGAGGAATATACTCTCGGAGGGAGCACAAGCGACACCTTAGAGCTTTGACTCACCAGGTGAACAACGCTGACATTCAATCTCCCCAGTCGCCGGTGCCGAACATGACGTTCACAGCCGCCGACTGCCGGGGGATTACGTTCCCTCATGAGGATCCGTTGGTGATCATCGCCACGGTGGCCAACCACGACGTCAGTAAGGTCCTTGTTGACGGTGGCAGTGGAGCAAACATTCTGTTCCGAAAGGCCTACAATCAAATCAAGCTGAAGCCCAAGCACCTTACGCCGGTACCCTACCCGGTATCCGGGTTCAACGGGGCTTCAACTTATCTAGATGGGAAGGTGACACTTCCTGTCACCATCGGCTGCGATGAGGCAGCCAGGAACGTCATGATTGAATTTTTGGTCATTGACGCTCCTTCAGTGTACAACGTGATTTTGGGGAGACCCATAATTCATGAGATCCAAGGGGTCGTCTCAACTTATCATCAGCTGATGATTTACGTCTCAGACGCCGGCTTCCCCGAAAAGATACAGGGCAACCAAAAGGACGCCCGAAGGTGCAACTACCTCAAGCCATCCAGTAGTCGCCCAGATGACGACAAGGATGAGGAGGAGAAAGAAAAAGAAAGAGAGCCAAGCACCAAAAAGCCGAAAGGCCTAAGTGCTTCGGCTCAAGGACCTGTACCCAGAGGTAAAGGGCCCGAAAGGGAAAAGGCTAGCTCTTCAGCTGAGCCGCAAGACTCAGAGAGCCAGCCGAAGAACAAAAAGACTGGGACACCTGCTGACATTGGCAGCAGGCCAGATTATGAAGAGTCCAGTCCATCAGCAATGGACATGGACCAACAGACTGAAACAGTTGAGTTGGCCGAAGGAGACGCTGAGAAATGTGTAACAATCGGGATGGACCTTGATCCGAACACCCGTTGTGAACTTATTCAGCTCCTTCGGGACAACAGAGATGTGTTTGCTTTCTCGGCAGCTGATATGCCCGGGATAAGTTCAGACCTCATCTCCCATAAGCTTAATGTTGACCCAACGTGTCGACCAGTTAAGCAAAAGAAGCGGAATTACTCCGCTAATAAGAACCGAGACATCGCAACCGAGGTCAAAAAATTGCTGGAGGCAGGATTCATCGAACCTTGCCAATATCCAGAATGGCTGGCAAATGTGGTGATGGTTCAGAAGCCCAATGGTACCTGGAGGATGTGCGTTGACTTCACGGACCTAAATAAGGCTTGTCCGAAGGATTTCTATCCCTTGCCGAGGATCGATCAGCTAGTCGATTCGACAAGTGGCCATGCCTTGCTTAGTTTCATGGACGCATTCTCGGGGTATCATCAGATCTTCATGCACCCTGACGATCGAGCAAAAACAACATTCGTCACGAACGCTGGGGTGTACAATTACAAAATGATGCCCTTCAGATTGAAAAATGCGGGGGCAACCTATCAAAGGCTGGTGGATCAAGTTTTTGCCGATCAAAAGGGCCGAAACATGGAAGTCTATGTCGACGATTCGATCGTCAAAAGCAAAAAACCTGAGGACCATGTAAAGGACCTGGCTGAAACTTTCGCCACCTTGAGAAAGCATCAAATGAAGCTGAATCCGAAGAAGTGTGTCTTCGGCGTGAAGTCAGGGAAATTCCTTGGGTTCATGGTCAGCAAAAGGGGGATTGATGCCAATCCCTCCAAAGTCAAAGCGACGCTCGACCTTCCTGAGCCGAAAACGAAACGGGATGTTCAGCGGCTCACCGGAAGAATGGCAGCCCTCTCGAGGTTCATTTCCAGAGCTTCGGATAAGGGGTTACCTTTCTTCAAAGCCCTGAAACTCCCGAAAACAAAAGAGCTCGTTTGGGAGGAAGAGCAGAAAGACGCGTTTAAGCAGCTTCGGGAGCATCTGGCTCAACTCCCAACGCTGGCTAGCCCAGCTGAAGGAGAAACTTTGTACCTGTATGTGGCCGTTAGCCCGGCCACCATCAGCGCAGTATTGCTGAAGGAAGAAAGTAAAAGTCAGCAACCGATCTACTTCGTGAGTCATACACTAACGGATGCCGAGACTCGCTACCCTCTACTCGAGAAAGTCGCTTTCGCGGTAGTAGTAGCTGCTCGGAAGCTCAGGCCCTATTTTGATTGCAATCAGATAGTGGTCTTAACTGATCAGCCGTTGGAAAAAGTTCTCGGCAAGGTTGAAAAATCTGGTAGGCTAGCCAAGTGGGCTTTTGAGCTCACCGAATTCAGCATGAGCTACCGTCCGAGGGCTGCCATTAAGGCACAGGCTCTAGCGGATTTCTTGGCCGAATGCTCATACCAAGAAGCGCTAGACAGTGAAAAGAAAGTCTGGACCGTGTTTACGGATGGATCTTCCACCGAAAACGGTTCGGGGGCAGGAGTAGTGATAACTTCTCCCGAAGGCAAATCCTTTGAGTATGCACTAAAGTTTTCTTTTAAGGCCTCGAACAATGAAGCCGAGTATGAGGCAGCAATCGCCGGCCTAGAATTGTGCATCTCCCTGGAAGCCGATCATGTCTGCCTAAAAACAGACTCTCAGCTAGTTGCATATCAGATCAGTGGTAGCTACGAGGCCAAAGAGCCCTCCATGATAGCTTATCTTGCCAAGATCAAGTCAGTCATTGCAGAGCTGAAAACTTTTGAGGTTCAGCTGATCCCAAGGGGTCAGAATACTCAAGCCGATGCACTCTCCAAACTTGCCAGTTCATCTCTTACCGAGCTGAACAGATCTGTATATGTAGAAGTGCGTCGAGAGAGAAGTGTCGA